GACAGACACATCAAACCAAGAATCTGAACAATGACCTCAACATCAATGAATGTGTTTGGGATCACCTAAAAAATGCTAAACCAGCTTCTAAGACTGAACTGTGGAGGTGTGTCTGCAGATTTCTTTGGAAATCTGAAAGTGAAAACTGCATTATCAGCACTCTCAGCTGTCAGCAGGCAGTGTGGGTTAAACAGCTCTGTCAGGCCGTCGCTCTGCAGTCTTTGTACCTGCAGAACATGCACCGCATTACGCAACGCAGCTCAGCTCAGGATTACTGGGTGGATCTCAGCGCTGGGGAATTGGGGATATTAGGGTGTGTGCATGTGTTGGCTTGTGCTTCAAACACATACGGAACGAAGTGAGAGTTAATAAAGCCTCTCCCTTCCACTTAGTCCTGTTCCTGCAGGAAATATATCGCCATATATTTGTCAAAATATGGCTGATTTGTAAGATACTATTAGATCTATTTCATCTACATACGCACATATATTTTAAAGCAATTGACATATATGTGCACATCGCTGCTGTCAGAACAAAACCTCATATCTCCAAAATGGCAACTTTACAGGAGAAGGAAAAAACTTACTTTAATTTCAATGTAATTCAATGGAACCAAAAATTTTTCCAAATAATTTTAAGCCGTTTCTTTTGGTCCATTCATCATGAAATTTACTCACAATGTAAAGGTCAACAGGTATTTTCAAATTATGTCAAAAACTGAAAAACGACAAAAATGGAGATATAAGGAATATAATAACAGCATATATAAAGCATATAACAACAGTATATATTGCACAGGCTGCACTTCACCACTGGCCATTGAGTAAAGATGTTAAATATTCTAAGACCAATCATGATACTAAAAATAATTTGAGTTCATTTTTAATAGAATTATCATTTTTTTTGTATTTAGACTGCAAGTATTGTAGTAGTACTCTCATATCATTAAGTTACATTCTTGAAATGCCAGACTGAGAAGTTGTCCAATCAGGATGTTTTCTTGGTAATGTCTGAGTAGATACAGCCAAGTGAGCTCTCCCATTGGTTAGGCCTTCAGGAGCTTACACTGTACAATTTTCGTGATAAAGCTCTCACAGCCGAAACGTGAAAGAGTCTTTGATCATGAGTTCAAACCGATGCTTCTTCAACACTTAATGTGACACTTCCAACACTTTGTGTGACGAAATTAGTGCCTTTGCAACCGAAGTAATGGTGATGGCTGCTCAGCTGTTAAACAATTCAAATTCCTCAAACAGCAGTAAAGTGATGTATTCATCACATGCATCCAAGGCTACATTCACATTACAAGCCTCATCGCTCAAATCCGATTTTTTGCTCAAATCCGATCTATCTGACACGATGGTTCACACTCGTTTAGGTAAGTGACTCAAATCTGTCATTAATGTGACAAACCGGCGTCCTGAAATGACCCTCATGAGCTCATCCTACTCAGTAACGTCACGTGAATGAATCACGACCATCATCAGCACAAACTAACGAGCAGAACGAGCTTCGCTGAGAAGATAATTAACTCTGATCAGCTCTCAGCTTCATTATTAGAGCGAGACGAAGGAGAAAAAGGAGAGATGAGCTGCTTTTCCACCGTTTACAGGCTTTAACTTCTGTTCGGTGCTGCTGCCATGGTAACGCTGAATGATGGCGCACGAGCAGTGGAGAAAAAGCACATGAATTCCGATCTGAGCGTCACATTAAGGTCACATGGCCACAAATCAGATACGTATCCAATCTAGGACCACATGTGAAAGTGGCTCAGGTTGGATTTGAAAAGATCAGATTTTACATGTCCACACAGCTGAAAACATCAGATCTGAGTCACATTAGGGCAAAAATCGGATTTGTGCCACTTCAACCTGGTAATGTGAACGAAGCCTTAAGGCACACTTTCTACAAGCATGTAATCTTATATGTAATAGACAAAAGTCACCCAAACTTCCTAATCAGTACAAACTTGTTTTCATAGATTTACTTCCGTACAGCTCTGCAGATGTAATAAACCCAAACACTGAAGCCAACACACACCCCAACATGCTACCCCAACTCCTGAGATAACACCTACCAACAGGACCAACAGCCTCACCCAGCAGCCATCACATCAGTCAACTGGCCTGCAGAAATATCCTCAAAACGATGGCTCAGTTAGAGCTCTGTATCTTTTAAAGGACAGGTTTTAAAGAGTGCAGCAACTTACAGAACGCAAAAGAATCCACACGCAGAGCGAGGACAAACCGTTCAGCCCGGCCGCGTGCCCTGCTGTCACCGTGGAGATGAAAGAAAGACAGAAAACAAAGCCAGAAACAGCACCTGTCCTGTGCGTATGTATTTTAGTACCTCCAGTGGAGGAAAATGAGCGAGGAATCAAGTTTCAGTGTATATAAAGAGACAGTGTGTGTATAAAGAGAGCAGCAGGTATAGAAGTTGAGTTAGTACTTCATTACTACCTCCTCACTGCTGTAGCTCCGTATGCCAAACCTCCATTGTGGTGTACAGGAAAAATAAACACACGGGACCCACAGTGGATTCTTCACTTTATTTGTCTTCAGTTCGACATCAGAGATCATCAGCATTCGGCTTCATGACACAAAACAAAGGCCCACCGACGGCGAGCGCCCCCCGTTCCTGCTCAGCTTAATGCTGACCCCTCCCTGCCATGCGTCTCTCCGTTTTGGCAAATATCTAGAACCAGAAAACAGTGACGATTCTAGAATTGTCAGCCAGTAGATGCTGATTCAGATGCTGATATACATAATGGCCCAAGAATTCCAGAACCTCAGTAGATTCTGGAGCTTCAGCAGATTACAGACACCTAGCAGATTCTGGATCCCCCAAGAGATTCTAGAGCCTCAGTGCATTCTGGAGCCTTAAGGGATTCTAGAACTCCAGCTCATCCTAGAAGCCTCCGAGTAGATTCTAGAAAGCCAACAGACTCTGAAACGTCAGGAAACTATGGAGCCTCAGTTTGCATATTCATACTCATATTCCAGAACCCAGAATTCAGCAGATCAGATTCTAGAGCCTCAGTGCATTATGCAGCCTCAACAGATTCTAGAACAGATTCTGAAACTGCAGCAAATTATGGAGCCTCAGTAACCGTAAAACTCTGTTTTGATAATCCTATCAGATTACAGAACTCCAAAAAATTCCAAAACCTCTGCAGACTCTAGAACTGAGGCATGTTCTGCAGATTCTAGATACTTGACAAATTCTGGAGCCTGAGTAAATTCTAGAACTCCAGCAGATTCTAGAAATGTGGCATCTTCTGTAGATTCTAGATCCCCACCACATTTGGGAAAGTCAGCAAATCATGGAAGCTCAGTAAATTCTAGTACTCCTGCAGATTCTCACATCTGTGCAGATTCTAGAACTCTGACATATTCTGGAACCCCAGCAAATTTTAGAACTTCAGCAGATTAATGAAAATCGACGGAAGTTCTGGATCTCGGGCGGATTCTGTAGCCTCAGCAGATAGAACTCCAGCGGTTTCTAGAACTCCAACAGATTCTAAAACCTCTGCAGATTCTAGAACCTCAGCAGGTTCTTGAGAATCAGCAGATGTCTTTCATTTTCGCTTTGTAATACAGCAGAGTGGGACCCGACTGGTCCGGTTTAGTCACCTGGAAACTAGTGCCAAGCTGACTGCGGTACACAGCTGTTATGGCAACCATAAACGAGAAACACCTCAACTACAGCGGAGACGTTGGCGGATCAGTGGCGCGCTCTGCTCCACAAAGCCAGGCCACACCTCTGTAACGTCTGTACTCGGGTTTCAGAGACGTACCGCGACGCCTGGCTCGATAATTCTGCTTTAAAAATAAACCGTTCTGAAGCGGACAGGCCTAATGAAGCAGACCGGTCCTCAGCAGAATTTCAAATTCAGCCGTTTGGCTCTGATATGTGACGAGCACCGAGGTCAGCGCCTCCCATTAAAGGTCATCTTACTTAAAGAGGACGTATAAACACACTCAGAGTACTGACAATGGGAGCTACACACACTCAGCTTAACTAAAACACACGCACACCCTTAATTACTACTGCTACAGTAGCACCGACGCCCCCACACCATGAAATATGGCATCACGACTGTCAGCGAATGGCATCGTTTTCCAACCTGAAAAACACACTACAAGTGGACGTGTCATTTAACCGGGATCCTGGCAGGCTGCTAATATTAACTCTGGGGCAGCACCTGAGTGCAAAGGGTTAAAAAAGATGACGGCAGTTGACCATTACAACATTCTTGTGCGTGTAGTCGTCAGGCAGGAGTGCTGAGCTTCGAGTCACTCCACAACAGAAGTGTACGATGTAGAAATCACAGATTCAGCAAACTCCTGGACTTAAAGCTGAGCTTTAAAGGGAAACCTTTCAAAACGTCTGCATAATTTACTGGTTTAAATGTAAACAGAGTCTTCTGAGTTTTTATATGCAACGTTGATGATGGTAAAATAGTGATACATCTGAAAAAAATGAATTTTCTTTGGGTGCCATTTTATATGACAACACCTTGTATATATTTCTCTGCCATTAATGGATTTAAAAAAAATTTAGATCAAAATTTCAAATGTAAAACAGCGTTTCAGACATCAGGCAGTGAATTCATAACCATTTCTTATATTAACTTTCTGTGAGGGAGCTTTTAGAGGTGGACGTCTGGTTCCTATCACCACCACTGTGAACGATTCTGACTCGGTAAGTTTCTCACATCAAACCACTCTGAACGACTTTGTTTACATCTTAACCATTTAAATATGGTACGTACACTCTTAACAATGATGGTTCTTTAAGAAAGGAAAAAAGAACCCTTTGCACGATTAAAGGGTTCTTTGCATCGTTAAATGGTTCTTCAAGCTGATGGAGAATGTGTTGTATACGGTTTGATACAGAACTTTTTTGAAAATGGTTCTGTACAGCACCCAAAAAGGGTTCTTCTACTGTGACAATGTCAAGCCTGTAACAATAGAAGAACACTTTTCAAATATAGCTATATAGCACCATATACAACACATTCTCCATCAATCTGAAGAACCAGTCAACGATGCAAAGAACCATTCAATAATGCAAAGGGATTTTTGAGTATTCACGGTTCTTTACAGAATCATTTTCTTTACTAAAGAACCCTTGAAGAACCATCTTTAGTAAGTGCGTACTTTAGTTTCATACATATGACCCTGCGACTGATCCACCAAACCAGCGATTCTCAGTGCTAGTCCTACTCTAGCAAACCTGAGGAGACGCCTCGTCTAATTATCAGGCCAGTAATGATTGAATGAGTGATATAAAACTGTCCAATGGCAGCATCTCAGACTCGTCACTGTCTGAGCAGCCTGAGAAGGAAGTTTTGATGGATTAGCCACCAACCAAGTAAAACTATATGTCCAGAAGTTTGCAGTGCTTCTCCCGATATAACGGGTATTAATAGGGAGCAACAGCCTCTACTCTTCTGGGAAGGCTTTATACTTACATTGCTGTAAGGATTTGATTGCATTCATTCACAAAAGCATCATTGTTGTCAGGTACTGATATTGGAAGATCAGTTCTTGCTGCTCCACAGCCTAATGCTGGGGGGCTTTATACCCCTCTAGCCCACGTCTGGCATTGGGCATGGTGACCTTAGGATCATGTGCTGCTGCTCTAGTGTCCCACTGTATTGGTGATTATACAAACTGTACATGCACAACTGAACGCCTGTGTCAGCAATGGGTGACCTCAAAGCAGCTGAATTCAGTCATCAGAAGGGTTGTCTGGATACTTTTGGACATATAGTCAGCCATTAAAAGCATCCCTACACAGCAGAAGGACAAGCAGGCCACAGGGGGGCGCTACACTCAGGCTACAGAATGCTATATGATAAAACTGTTACAGTTAAAATTTAACGGTATGATAACCTCGTCAGAAAATAACACGGTGTCACGGTATGTCGGTACTAATATGACTGTCAGCACTTGCACATGCGTTTATTTTGACATATGACACGGGGGTTTTCACCGAACATTAGTTTTGAACACTAATGTTGAAATGTTTTTCTGTCTTGACTGGTTTGACATTTATTGAATGATGGATTGAAAAGCATGCACTGAATTCCTTTATTTAGTGCCCGTGTGAGGGTACTAAACTTACTTGTTTTGGTTTCTAGAATAAAGCAGGACGAGGCGGCACAATACTGTCATAAACGTAGAACCAGTCAGCGTATTGAGCGAGTCGAGATGGAGGAGGTTCGCAGCTAAACACTGACAAAAACAGTGGTTTAAGGGACTGTAGCTCATACATGGAAATGTATTTTAATCTGTATTTTGGAAAAGTCAGCTGCGAGACAAGCGGCCGCTTGATCATCGTGACTAACTGTGAAATCGTGAGAACCCTAGCTGACTCAACCTTGATAGAAATAAAAACACAATGCTTTAAAAAATTTAAAAAAAAAAAACAGGGTTGGCTTGGGCAGTCTGCTACCAGCTCTTACGTCGTCCGCTACCCAATTCCTGGCAACACTTTCGACCAGGTTAACGCAATCAAATTACTACCCAAGTCAAAAATAATACACAGAGGAAAAATCCTCTCAAACAAGTTAATGAATTTGTCATATTCCTATAAAATACTGCTCACTCACATAGACAACTTTCCGAACGTATGGTCATGTCCAAATCCCCATTTTCAAAAGGGCAGCCCAAACTGATCTGTATTCAGCAGGCCCAGCAGTATGTTTGTACTATTAGCAAAACATTAGTTTGTATTGGGACGTAGCCTATGGCTGTGTTTGGACGCTGATGGCATTCAGTGTGCGGTTTAGCATGAGCAAAGCTAAAAATGGCTGGTAGGAGATGAAAATACAATACAAAACAGATCTAAACGATCACAAATCAATGGGATACTGATTTCTTTCCCTTTCCCAGGCTGTCGTAATGTATTTATATAAAAAAAAAAAAACAATCTAAAATTGGCGTTTAGAGCACTACGGATATGTCCATGTGCGTGTATGTGCTCAAAATCGATACTCCGCTATTACATTTGGCTGCTCTCTGACTGCTCCGTAGGCTCTTCCATGAGCCTTCCATATGCAAGGTCATAGCATATGACTATGATTTGAGTTCAGTCTCCCCTCCACACTGTCTTTTTGTTGTTTTGTTTAACGCCTCTATCTATGCCTGGCGTGGTGCCACCTCAGTGCTGCCCTCTGCTGGCAGGCTCCTGTTGGCGGTGCCTTTAACAGAGGGGGTCGGCGGCCGGCGGGCTCAGAGTCTCTCTCTCTCTTTTCTGTGTGAGGTCTGCACTGCAGCCTGCTCTGGCTCCGACTCCGTCTGAAGCCTGGGGCTCAGTTAAAGCCCAGCCCGGCGCCCTTAGGCCTCTGCGTGGCCCGCAGCGGCTCGGTGATGCCCCGGCCCTCAGGGCCCAGACCCATTCCTGGAGACCAGCCCATACTCTGCAGCATCCGGCTCCCCACGTTTGACTCCGGGATGGGAGACGCTCCCTCACCTACCACTCCTGAGAGAGAGAGAGAGAGAAAGAAACAGAGAGTATGAGTAACAGGTTTCTTATGACCTGTTAAAAAGCCCTAGGGGTTCTTCACTGACTCATTAAAACAAGATTAATCAGTTTGAAAGTTCAAACATTTCACTGACGATTACTGCATGCTGTTATCAGAGGGGGGCCTTCAGAGAAGGTCTAATATTTCCTGGGAACTAAAAATGTGTCTCTTTCTGACTTATTCTATAGAATCATCACGCTTTTGCATTTAATCTCTGAGTATTGTAGTAATACTTGTATTTCACTGAAATGCCCAACAGTAAATTGTCCAATCAGGATTTTTTTTTAGATACAACAGATACAGCCAAGCTAAGATACAGCAAACACACATACGTTTGTGTCTCATCTAAAATGGCCAGAAAAAAGGCTGTTTTCTAACTCACTATTAAAACCAGCATAAAGGCGTTATCAGAAATGTGCATAAAAATTGTTTCTTTGTCAGAACTTTGACATTCATGGTCTAAACTAAAGCTGTAAGAGTGATTAACTATTATTAAACATAACCAACTATTTACCGGTATATTTTTAAATGTTCTGTAATGTATAACTGTTATTTGTCTGTGGTGCAGGTGGTTCTTGACATCACAACGTAACATACAGTCCAACATGAGAGTAAGAGAGAGACAGAAAAGAGAGAGAAGGATAATCTGTATTAGGCTGTAAAGCTCATTGATTCTCTTAATGCAGCTAATGGATTGAAATGGAGTACAGCACGTCAAATCTTCACAGATTAAACTTTTATCTCCTCCAACTCTCACCACACCCCTTATCCCCCTATTTAAACAAAGATTTACACAATGTTTATATCGAAAACAGGAAGTATGTGCTGCTTCCATTAGCAATTGAGGACACTGCTAATGCACTGTCCTGATCTTTAGGAGTCTTGAGGATAGTAAACAGCTGGCGTTACAGGCATTACTCAGCGATAACTTACGTAGAGACACTGGGCCTCATTCACTAAGACTTTGTTCACACAGCAGGTAAAAGTGGCCCAAATCTGACCTCTTTCTTCATATGTGACACAGATGTGTGTCTGTGTGTCAGTGTGAACAGATAAACACACTGAATCTCACATTTTCAATTCCGATTTGAGATGCTTTAATATGTGGTACTGAAATCCGATACGTATCCGATCTGTATCAATGCAAGTCTGAACAGCCAGATCAGAATTCATGCGACTTTTATGTCAGTCCAACTCGACATTTGTCATAATTTCGTGCTGCTGAGACTCAAACATTTAGGCTGATGTTCCTGTACCAAAAAATTAGAAGAGACTTATCGCAGCTGCTCCGTGTTGAGATTTTGAAAGAAATGTCCGAACGCGGCCGCAGGAGAACGAGGCTGCAGCGTCAAAGAACAGTTAAAAGTCTGAAAGCAGAGTTTAAAGAATCCGAGGACGCGAACCAAAGAAGTGACCGCGCCCTTTTTATGGCTCTAACACATTCTGGGTGATGAGCCCAGCTGTCAGTCAGTGAAGCTTCATGATGGCTCCTGTGATACTGGTGAAGATGAAGCTGATCCTCTGGGAGCGACTGGCGTTCGTTGGCAGGTGTGATTGTTTTCCTCTGGATGAGCCACTAAAGCAACATGAAACCCTGTTCTTCGGTGCATGTGGGTCGGTTTAGGAGCTGATCTGTTCAGACTGATGTCGCATACAGATCACATTTAAAAGATAATGTGAACAGCCAACGATTTGGTGAGACAGTCAGATTTGGGCCACGTTTACCTGCTGAGAAAAGATCTCTTCTTAAAACCCACTTACGCAGTTTTTACAAACATTCTGATATTCACCACTGTTTTCTTATTTGGCTACGCATGCTTGAGAGCACAAAGGTGCGAACGATTCTGCACTTTAAGAACACGTCATGAATCTGACTTAGACCTTTCTGAAGAACACATTTAAGAAAAAAAACTTTGGCGAATGAGGCCCAACGTCTAAAATGGACTGTAAAAATCACTTAACTCACGCCTGACCGATACCATCATTATGAGGCTAACACCGACATCAAGCTAAACATCTATAAAGTCTAATAACCGATGATATCAAGAGACTCATTATCTTTTGTGGAAACCACTGAAAATGACCAAAACTACAGTAAAGTGGGCGAGGAGGGGGAGGGGCTTATGACACACACACACTCACGCACAAACGACTGGGCTTTTAATAAGTCGAATATAAATTCTAGGGGCTGTGATTTTTTAGGGGTTTATTTCTGTTAGAGGGCTGCGTGGCTAAATCTAATCTGTGTAGCTTATAAACTGAAAAAACACTTCGAACGCCAACACTTTTTTTAAATATTAACTTATTCTATATATTAGGCACATTGTATATATTATACAAGACACATACTCGGGCACATATCTTTACACCCCTAATATATAGAAGGTGTTAATAATATCATTATTAAATGCCTGTCAGTTATCAACTGTCACACTTTCTAAATTCAAATAGCAAAATTTCACAGCCTTAAATAACAAATATTGTAGCATAGGAGGCGGAGCTACCCAGAATTCTTTCATTGTTTTGGTGTCTGTTTGAGCGCCTCTGGTTAAATAACGTTTTACTGATTTTCTAAGTACAGATCCTCTAAGCACACTCATGCAGGACATTTTCTGCTAATTTAAGTGCACAATTCTTATTTATTTGCAGAGTTTAACATGTTGGGATTACGTGCCACAACTTGTGCACAGACCACACTTTGTTTTATTATATTTCTATATTTATATTAGTTTAATGTATTCAATTCAGCAGATAAAGAATAACTGTGCATTAAAACATGCATGGACTGCCGAGCTTTTGCAGACCAAAGCCGTCCTGGAGACAAAGACTAGCATTTTGCTCAAATGCATCCCTACAAATTGAAGGTGGTTGGTTTGTCTGTCGACAATTTCCAATACATGTTTAAGGTTCTATACTATGTTTTATTTAACACATGAAAAATGCAAGAATAATCTTCAATCTACCAAATACAAACACAGATCTTCTGCACTGCTTTTGAAAAAGCTAATCATAAAGCAAAGCTAAAAGAATTAGTTTCTCTGTGGTTCTTAATATCATAATCAAACACAACATTACCAACCAGCCCAGCCGACCCTGCACTACTGCCTCCGCTATCTGTACTTTCTTTTAATGGCAAGAAGCAACGTTAGATGGGAATCTCAGTCACTATAAAACCAACTGATCCACAACAAGATTCACTGCCAAATATTTTCAATCATCAGCAATCGTTGTTGCAGTCCTACAATCCAACCAAAAGAACACCAGGCACTGTAAGAGGGGGCTTCATACTGGCCACATAAGCCTGACTTTGGGGGAAATTCACAACGATGGGGCAGATGAAGACGACGTAACGTTACCCATCTAAATCGTTTTACTGTAATATGAAGTTTATCAGCAGCATTACAGCCCTGCAGTGTCTTCACACTCGTTTTATTTGTTTCAGATAACCTAGGGAACAGAGCACTGCTCCTCAGACCAGAAGCAGCATGCTCCCCTTGCCAGTTCTTAGGAGGAAATCTCTCTGGGCACTAGTGACACTAATCAGCGGTGGAAAGAAAGTACTCTGCTACTTAAGAAGCTTTTTTGAGGATGCGTGCTTGAGCAGACTCTTTTTTTGAGCTTTGAAAGCTAAATCTCTTTACGCAGCTTGCTGCATTTCAGGAATGGAAGGCAGTAACACCCCACGACCAGTGAAACCACTCATTTCAATTAAAATTCATTTGTAGAGCGTAGGGCTGGGACAAATTTACAACATTGTCGATTAAAATTCACTGAAAAAAATTTCCAAATGATGGTGATAAAATGGTGATTAATGCCTTAAACTGAAGAGGACAGCAGCTCACTTACAATGGTGTATCCCTGTGAGCAGATGACAATGACAAGGTTTAAGGCTTTGTTCACACAGCTGGTGGTGGTCATCTTCACCAGCATCACAGGAGCCATCATGAAGCTTCACTGACTGACAGCTGGGCTCATCACCCAGAATGTGTTCCAGCTCAGCGCAAAAAGTGCAGTCGCTTCTTTGGTTTGTGTTCTCTGATTCTTTAGACTTTGCTTTCGACTTTTAACTGTTCTTTGACGCTGCAGCCTCGTTCAGCCATTTCTTTTGAAATCTCCTCGAACACTGAGGGTTTTCACAATTTTTTGGTACAGAAACATCAGCCTAAATGTTTGAGGTCTCAGCAGCGTGAAATTATGATGAACGTTGAGCTGGACTGACATAAAAATGGCATGAATTCCGATCTGGCTGTTGAGACTGTGTCGCATTGCTGCATATCGGATATGTATCAGATTTCAGTACCACATATTAAAGCATCTTAAATCGGAATTATATGTCAGATTCAGTGTGTTTATCTGTTCACACTGACACACATCTGTGTGCATGCAGGTCAGGTTGGGAGCATGACCTGTTCAGACTAACGTCGCATACACGTCACATTTAAAAGACATTGTGAACAGCCTAAAAAATCAGATTTGGTGAGAAAATCAGATGTGGGCCACTTTGGCTTCGTTCACATTACCAGGTTGAAGTGACACAAATCTGATTTTTTGCCCTAATGTGACTGCCCTGATGTTTTCAGAGCTGTGTGGACACACAAATCTGATCTTTTCAAATCCGACCCGAGCCACTTTCATGTGTGGTCCTAGATTGGACACGTATCCGATCACGGCCATGCAACCCTAATGTGACGCTCAGATCGGAATTCTTTTTTTCCACTGCGCCATCGTTCAGCATTACCATGGCAACAGCACCAAACAGAAGTTAAAGCCTGTTAACGGTGGAAAAGCAGCTCATCTCACCTTTTTCTCCTTCGTCTCGCTCTAATAATGAAGCTGAGATCTGATCGGAGTTAATTATCTTCTCAGCGAAGCTCGTTCTGCTCGTTAGTTTGTTTAAATAGAAATGTGAGGAAAACAAATTTGGTAACTTTTCCGCCAGTTTAAGTGGGACCAGGAGTTCAGGGGGAAACTGTATAAGGATCACAGCCTATTTTATCGACCTTGTTGAGGAACGTTTTTCTCTTCCAAAGTAAGGAGAGCAATTTTAGCCATCTTTCACCTCTAGTTACGTTCGTGCAGAGCAGCGAAGCCAGAAATTTTGCCCCAAATATGGCAGCCACAATAGAAAGATCACCTGACTGAAAGCCTAGGATAACACTAATCTGCATAGTTATTATTACCTCACTTATTTCTAGCTTAATTGCTTATTACCTACTGTAACTCAAATTTATGAGTGTAAACACGGCGTGGTGGTGATTTAGCTCTTTGTGAACAGAACCAAGAGCTAAATCACATTTTATTATTACAGCTTTTCACACTGAAGTTGATTAATTCGATTATTAGGTGATTCACATGAACAACTGAATATCAAAATATCCGCTTTTTTACCACGACCATCGTCACAAAGCAGCTTAACAGAAATCCGGGTCAAAGCCCCAAGCGTGCGAGCCAAGAGAGACAGCAGCAAGAAAAACTCTCTAAGAGCAAGAGGAAGAAACCCTGAGAGGAACCAAGACTTAGAGGGGAACCCATCCTCCTCCTTACTAAAAAAAGCTGCAGCACGAAAGGGTTTAAAGAGGGAAAAAAACACATCATTAATCATGTAAGTGACTGACGATCTGCGCCAAATCAAAACCAATCCAACCTCCTGCTGTAAGAAGATTCCCTAATGAAGTCACTTCAGTCACAACACGCTGGCCTCCAGCAGTTTTGATGTCTGAGCCCTATTAAACAAAGGCCTTTCACCTGTCTGGCCCACGTGAGCACCTCAGATCCAAGTGTTATTAAAGAGAAGCCGATCCGACAACTACGTCAGATGCTGATTCTCAGGCTTCTCTGCGATAAAAACCTGTTTGAGTGCTTCTCCATTCAAACAGATGGAAAAAAAGGGTGGCGCTATATGTTCACGATTAATGCATATACAACAATCACACATTCAGGATAACATGTAACACCTCAAATAATAAATAGTACATTTCTGGTAGCACTTCAGCATAGGTGGTCATTATAATGCCCTTATAAAGCCCTTATCAAGGCACTAGATTGTAATTAACTGGCTGCTTATTACTACATTATTAAGCAACAACTATTGTAAATTAAACACCTTTCTAGAGCATCTTTATTTGTATATTTAACATCATTATCTTTTTTATGCTACAATTTAGGTGACCATAAATGGGCCTTTATTAAGCCAATAACTGCTAATTAACTGGATACTTATTACAAATTAACTGGTTGGTGATTACTATGACATAGAATGGACAAAAGTCCTCTGAAAAATACCTTATTTACCTCAGTTATGGTTTAATAATGTAGTAATTAATACCCAGTTAACTGCCAACTACTGGCGTGGTAAGGTTTAATAAAGGATTATCAACAGCATATACTGCCCCCTATACATTGTAACAATGTGTAAAAAAAAAAAACAACCTATTAATCAAAATCAACTCGCAGCAAATGATTTATTGCTATTATTTTAGTAGCACTTGCCTCATTTATGCACAATCAATACGCTACATTAGAAAAATGTTATTAATCTTTTTTTTATTATATTATCCATCATATAAAAACATGAAATCCTCAAATTTTCATTATATAATAAAGCAGGCAACTTTAAAGCTACACTGATGCTTTATGAGTGGGATTTTTCACTGATACCAAAAAATTCACGAAACCTTAACATCAGACGATTTTATCAGCCAACTGATATATCGGCCGGGCTGAACTGAAAATTACAAATATTCACTCTCTTCAGTGCTTAAGAGGCTCCAAACTTAACCAAAAAAATGTCTCAGACAGCAGGCAGCATTTTAATAACCATTTCATGTAGTAACTTTCTGTGAGGGAGCTTTTAGAGGTGGACATCTGGTTCCTATCACCACCACTGTGAACAGTTCTGATTCTCTATAATGAAGCATTTCACATCAAACCACACTGAATGACTCTTTACATCTTGACCATTTAATTATGCAGAAACATATTGGAATCTTAGAAAGACGATTCATGTTTTGTAATAGTTCAGTGACGCTGACAGCCCTGTACACATTTACGCAGCTCAGCCCTGTAATGTGAATGCAGCCGCTCTGTCTCTCAATCCAACCTACGTTAATCCGTCTCTTCCTTTCTGTTGCCTCTACTCTTAAACTTCAAATCCATTTCTTAGAAAACACAACTCTGACCTGCTGAACTCTGACCCTCCAGCATCTCTAACCCACAACCCTCTGCACTGCGGAGATCCGCAGTGGTAAAATGCTTTACATCATCCTCTGGCCCAGGACCCGGGCAGGAAGTCACATGTTCTAATCAGGCAATAGGATCAACAGTGATCTGTCATCGATGGCCAGGCATGCCAATCGGTTCATGTGACCACACGCTGGTGCAGAAGTAGTGTTTACCCATAACAACAACCACACACCATACCCTGAGGGGACTCTGTGATGCTGTAAGTAGAGCCTTAAGTGGACAGGTAGAACCTATACAGGAGCCTAGCGCTTACACAACATCACCAACAGCAGCGCTGCTGTTTAGCACGCAAAGATGGTGTGATAGCTTCTCTGAAAAACAAACCTCAGAGGCTAAGAGACACGGGGGAGTGAACGTTTTTAGAGGTGTAATGGTTTCTGGGCCACAGTTTGGCTTCTGTCGTGGTTCAACTTTGAAAAACTAGCTTTGAAGCATCACATAACACATTACACACAAGTTTAAGATGTGCAAATACAAACCAGACGTCTTTTTAAACAGAGAGTAAAATAAATTACTTTTTAAAGTTCCACCTTCATCTTCCTCAAGCTCATCTTCAACTCAGAAATGTTCTTAGACATAATATACCCAACTTTCAGCCTCAGCCTCATGCAGAAACCACCAGACTCTAAACGTTAGGCCCAATTCCATTTCTTATTTTTACCCCTACCCCTCGTTTTTGAGTGTCTCCTTGCCCCTTAGAGTTATAGTGGCAGTGGTTGAAATCTTTCCTACTAAATGGGACCCTCAAATAAAAAGAGCATCACTTCACTAACAGCTACTAGCGCTGCTCTGTAGGCGACCCTGCCAGTCTGCAGTGACAGCAGAGGAGGGTAAAGTTCAGCTCCTCACTGCTGGGCTTTAGTTACATTTAGGGCATCGTATGCCTTCAAAGAGGGGGGCAATTATTTATTATCGTCCACCCCTAATTCTTCAGTTATATGAAGCTGAAGTCAGATATTCACCAGCTTCTTGTTCAAACTGGACTATTTAAGATGGAACTTGAATTTTCGCTATCTAGCTACCAAGAGATCAGCATACTAATAGCGATTTTTATGCTTGTTATGAAGAAAAGGACCAAAATACATTAAAACAACATAAAACTAAGATAATACAGTGGTTATTGTAATTTGTAATGGAGAAAATTCTCACATTTGTGGGTTTCTTTGGCCTCTTGTTCAGTTCCGTTTTTCTTTTTTCCTCATAACCCTCTAAAGTGTGCCTCTGAAAAACCTCTGTTTGGAGGGCCACGCAGCCCAAACACTTCATCCAACCCCTCTATCTCAATAACAATCAGGACACCCTACCCCTAGACATGAACATGCAAAATGGAGAGCTAATGGCTAACTGGTAGGGGTGAGGGGTGGAATGGGATTGGGCCTTAGTCTCTCAATTTGTATATTCTCAAGCTACCCTGTAGCATCCTCCGAAAAGAATTTAAATAAGATCTATCCCTCAGTCTCTAAACTACGCGAAAGGTGTAAGGCATTTGATGGAACCTTGGATCATACATTTTAGTTCTGCCCCAAAATTTTCTTTTTGGGCTGATATACTTATATAAATCGGTTTTCCAAAGTGAACAATACTTACCATATAGTCAAGAACAGACATAGTAGTTATACCGTTCATTTTTGTGACGTTTTCTAAATAAATCTACATAAGTTCCTCTTTTACAAATTGTTGCAGAGCAAAAATAAACTAACATCAGCAAGCAGAACAAAACATCCACTGTATATAAAAATATGTAAACAAAATGTAAACAAAGACACAGAGTATTCGACCTATTCTCTTTGTTATTGCTTGAGCACCGCCAGAAGGGGAGGGGTTCATACAGTAGGATATCCTGAATAATGCACAGAGACACAGAGATATAATATAGAGAGAAATAGTTCATGGTTTAAATGTATCGCACTATTTTTTATTGATTTTATTTTACATTTATTTTGATCTCTTGACGTACGAGTGACACAAGTAACACAAATCTTATTAACGTCTTATTTTCCAGGGTATATTTTGGTTTGTCCTTCTGAATTTACATGACCACATCGTAAGGCAAATAATTCAGTAACTGCATGAAATAAATGTAAATTTTTATTTAATTTTATTTTTTTGGTAAAAGCTCCCCTCAAATTAACAGTTTTATGATCACACATATTGCTATATGCTTACAATTTACTGCTGAAAACCAAAAGTCTTAGACGCTCTTTTTGTATTATTTTATAAAAATAATGTTTACAGAGCTGATCACTGAAGAGACGCCATCTGTTTATAGTTTATAGCCCAGATTTGTGGAAAAATGGGTCGACTTTCAGTAGAAAAATTGTGAGTTCAGCTTCTTTTCTTATAAGGGTTTAAAATTACATCACTTTGACTGGAAAGAGGACAGTTACAGCTCTCATATGACACCCAGCTTTTGAATGTAGCTTATGAAATATGATAGATAAGAAGAATATGATGAAGTGCATTTTGGAACCACTGGTGGTCTCAAGGAGTCCAAGAGGTTAAGTCAATAACTGTAATGTGATTAGAAGAATTTAAACTGGAATACCCTGCACTAATCGGTTACAGGAAAAAGTAATCACATTACTGTGTTACTCTAATGTAGGCGATACATTATAAGGGTGTGTTTGTTACCTGTGGATGAGGGGGCACCCATAGGGGCAGCCTTGCGTCTTCTCTTCACGTCCCCCGTACACAACGAGCCGAGGTGACCGCTGGTCTGCCTGTTAATAGACAGACAAACACACAGAGAAGTTCACAGAGTAGGCTTGTGCAGTATACTTTTGCCCAGTCACACCCAGAAGCTATCGGCAATTGATGATAGCAGATAGTATAGTGTTGGGGTGGCGGTGGGCAGGAATTAGTTATGCAGTGTTTCCATACATTGGCTACACTCAGACAGTCCCTCGAGGTATATTTACAGCCCTCCAAGTATGTTTTATCCCAATTTAACAGTTTCCAAAACATTCTGTATTGTGTCTCATGTTACGCAATTAAAAAAAAACATGCTACAAAATTACAAAACAATAACATTTCTTTCTTTACCATAAACTTTACAAGCCTTATTTGAACAACAATCAAGGAAAAATACTGAAATGACTTTGAAGTTCTGTGTATATTTGAATAACAACACATTCCACTATGCTCCCACATTCAGACAGCTACACACGCAGACGGGTGAGTGCCCTCAGACTTATAGGGCACACCTGTAGAGGAAACTATTCAGAGCTCTCAGGGTGAAGATTCAGGTGGTTACCTGCTAGCAGTCTTTAACGAGCAGCTCCTCCGGTGGCCTCGGTCCGCTCTGGAATCCCAATGGCACTGCACACACGTAACACACACACACAGAAAGCACTTATAAACACACTAGACACACAGAACCAGTTACATATCCACTGTGCCCAAACCACACGGACAGTCTTAAACACAGGCACTACTCCTGCACTTATACACTGAACAACTACTGCCAAAACCAGAGGACAAAACTGCGTTGATGTTCTATTTTATTTACATGGGGATGATGTACACATTTCAAGCAGGTCAACTGAACACAGCATGTTTTGAAGTGTATGTAAGATACGATGAATGTGCACAAACACACAGGTTAAAAATACACCCTAAACACCAATCATACGCACAACAGCTACAAACCCTTAAACCGGTACTATTCCTGAGCGACAGGGTGGTGTAATCGGATATCAGCACAGACTGACGATGTTTCAAAGGTGATAATCATCATCATCAGAAAGCTGACAGAGAACTACATAATTTAAATAGCCTGTTAATCAATATTAAATTGTATACATACATATATGTACGTGTTTGTGTTTATTCCTTTTTACTGTTAGTGCATTCTTACTAGGGATTAATGAGCAAATAGAGCAAATTTTCCCCCCCAGTGTTTCCACTATAGCATAAATCTGTCAAAATTTCTCTATAATTTAATGGCTGAAATCTAAACAGTCATTCTAAAGGTGCATTATAGAGAACCTCAGATTTCCTTACAGTGGTGGTGATGGGAACCAGGGGTCGCCATGACTACAACACAGATATAGACATTTTATTTACTATCCAGAACCACCAGTGAACCTACACGAGTCTTCTGAGTTTATATGGAATGTTGATGATGGGAAAATAGTAAATTAGAAAAAATAAGTTTTCTTTGGGGACTATTTTGCCTCACAACACCCTGCATGTATCCCTCCCCCATGGTGTTTGAACACCAAACCACCCTAAATGACCACTTAATTCATCAGTGTATATGCACTTTAGTCATAAAGCCGTACACTTGAGGAACATCAGTACATATTGGCTTTTCATGAAACAGAGAGGAAAGGTAAATAATCTTTGGGCCTCTTTACGTACGAAAAAAACTAATCCTGTTCAAACAGTCTTTACTAAAACAGTACATTATGATCAGACATTACAAGCAGACTTCCCTCTCACTCTCTCTCACACCCTCACTCACACACCTCACTCACTCTCCCTCACACACCTCACTCACTCACTCTCACACCTCACGCACTCACTCTCACACCTCACACGCACTCACACACCTCACTCACTCTCACACCTCACTCACTCTCTCACGCACTCACTCACTCTCACACCTCACTCACTCTCACTCACACACCTCACTCACTCTCACTCCCACACCTCACTCTCACTCCCACACCTCACTCCCACACCTCACTCTCACTCACACACCTCACTTTCACTCCCACACCTCACGCACTCTCACACCTCACGCACTCTCACACCTCACGCACTCTCTCTCTCTCACACACACACACCTCGCTCACACACCTCGCTCACTCTCACACCTCGCTCACTCTCACACCTCACACCTCACTCACTCTCACACCTCACTCACCCTCACCCTCACACACCTCACTCACTCTCACACCCTCGCTCACTCTCACACCTCGCTCACTCTCACACCTCGCTCACTCTCACTCACACACACCTCGCTCACTCTCACTCACACACACCTCGCTCACTCTCACTCACACACACCTCGCTCACTCTCACACACCTCGCTCACTCTCACTCTCACACCTCACGCACTCTCACACCTCACGCACTCTCACACCTCACGCACTCTCTCTCTCTCTCACACACTCACACACCTCACTCACACACCTCACGCACTCTCACTCACGCACTCTCTCACGCACTCTCTCATGCACTCTCTCATGCACTCTCTCATGCACTCTCTCTCTCTCACACCTCACTCTCACACCTCACTCACACTCACACCTCACTCACACACCTCACTCACACTCACTCACTCACACACCTCACTCACTCTCACACCTCACTCACACACACCTCGCTCACTCTCACTCACACACACCTCGCTCACTCTCACTCACACACACCTCGCTCACTCACTCTCACTCACGGTGCGTTATTCGACTGACCTGTTCACGTCTGGATCCAGGACTGAACCACGGGCTACAGAGCAAAAGATAAACATCAAAATGAGACCAGGTTGTTTATTATTGACAGTCTGCTGTCTATAAGCAAAAGGGAAAATAGCACCTACGATCTCCAGACATACTGTACACACAAGAGGTTATGTTGATTTATTGATATCAACAAAATTGCTGCTGATAAAACACTAAGTGGCTTGTTTTATACTGTAATGATCTAAACGCTCCAAAATGAGAAGCAGCTTTTCAGTGGTTCTGTTCTCTTAGGTGGGGCATTCAGGTGGATACATTTTTAAAAAATCTCCTATTATCACACATGGAAAATGGAGAGCTTAATTTCCAAACATTTTCATTTATTTTATTGTAAAATGCAAGATTTCGGTTAATTTGTCACTGGTGTTGCCCCTTAATGAGGCATTCTTTTTGTCATAAATTTATTTATTTTTTTATTTGCTTTTAATATGACTGCATTTATTGAAGAAAATCAATTTGAAATCATATTACCAAAGCTCTATACACACATGCACTAAAAAAATACAAAAAGACACATTTTTTCATATAGTTTAACATATCTCCACATACTATTTTGTAAAAAATATATATAAAAATTTAATTATTGTATGATAAACATGGAAATTGAACTTCTGAGATAAAAAAAAATCAGTGCCAAAATTAATTACTCTAACATTTCAAGTAAGATACACTTAATACAGTCTTATCATTATAAATGATACCGACAGTGACAACTGTTTAGTATTTTAGGAGCTGTAAAAATAAGATTAAAAAATTACAAATAATTAAATGCTAATTAATAAAAACCAACAAAGAATTCTTTGATGCTCCACCCCCAGTGGTTTAATTTCTATATTAATTATGACAGTGAGTTTCTGTTGTTTATCTGAGGTTAACAAATTTGACAATCGTATCATTTTTGCCTATATTAAAAAATATGTATTTATCTGAATATTTAGTCCCTTAAAAACTGTATCGGTGACACAGAAATTCAGTTGGGAGCTAGTTAGTTTCCGACTCCCAATTGTATATATTGTATACACTGCACTTTCAAGTACAATGAGGGTGTAAAGAAACATCGTACTCATGAGCATGAGGGTCCTGCGACAATCTGGGCAGCCTCTCCGAACATCCAGCTACTTGAGAAGCGCTCTGGAAGAGGATATGAATGAACACAGAACAGCAGTGAGTGAAGTGTTTTAGTGTAAATACTTGAAGTGTAACAACAAAGCCTTGTTGCAGTGTGACGGATTTAGGACCATAAACACCAAACATATATATATAGACATATACATACACACCTGAGCCTGCTGCAGAGAGGCCTGTCGAGCCAGCCTGGCCTGAAACCCTGAAAACAGAACCCATACGGAGTTAAGCAAGTTCAGAGTTTAGTCATTCTGATCAGTTCAGTGCAAAGTTCTGATCAGTTCAATCACAAATCTGCCATCTAGAGGACGTGCGTGGGAACTGCAGTGTAGCCATGACCAGATGTAGATAGGTATAAAAAAATTGTACTGGTCACTTGATCCACCAAGGCAATTCATCCTGTAGCCAAAATTTAAAATCTGTGGCCAGAATTATGTTTATCGTCCATACAGTTGTGCGTGAAAGTCTGAACTAGGGCTGGGCAATAGGACAATATTACTGCAGTGCTGTATGTGAAATGTTGAATACAAATCACTGATTTCACAGTTTTTTCACTGTGTTTGTTCCAACTTACCAGATGCCAGAAAACTTCTCGAAGTATTGAGATACTACATTTTTGCCATATTGCCCACGTTGAGTTTGACACACCCCTGGTCAAATTACTGTTAATTTTCCTGTTTGTTTTTTTTTAATTTCACGTTTTGTTAATTATTCTTTAAATGAAAATGAGTTAACACATCCTGTACAGGGAACACACTTAAATCTGACATTTTTCTAGTGCACAATTTTTATTTATTTGCTAAATTTAACATATTGGAAAAACATGAAATGTAAAATATGCCTCAGTCCATATTTTATTTTTTGCCAATATGTTTAGCTCAGCAAATAAACAGTAATTGTGCTTTAAAATGTACAGAAGTGTGTTCTTTGAAGAGGATGTGTTAACTCTACACATTAGCTCTCGGCAAAATCTCATTTAATGCAATAAATTCTGCGTATGACCAAACAGGCTGTGGATCTCGTGCAGGAGACTCAATGATCAACAATTTAACTGTGCAGAAAATGACAAATGTGCAGAATTCCCCTTTAACCAGATAAACCAACAGATAAAACTAAAAATTCTGCTTTATGAGATGAAAAAAAGGGACGGTCTGGTCAAAGCGCAGTGAGCAGCCCTGTACGTGTGCACCCACCTCGCTGTGCTCCCTGTGACATGAGTGGAAAGGCCCCAGTGAGAATGCTGTTGAACACTGGGTCGTTAAGGTCCAGCTCGTCAGATTCCCTATCCCACCACGGCACCACGCCCGCTATTCCACAAGCCCCGCCCGACTCGCCCTCGTAGAACCAATCACTCTGCTCGTCATCGCCTTAGCAACAGCAAAAAACATAAACAAAAGAGGAACGTTAGCTTATGATGTATCAGACTCACCTGACAAAGAACACAGCTTTGATTTTTCACATTTTTAAAAGCTTATGATACTTTTTAAAAGCTACTGAAATGGCTTTAATATCACATGACTATGTTATCTGTTTTAGTGTGCTCTATGGAAAGGGGTCCATAGGGGACCATCTTTAAAGGTACTAAACTGTCACTGGGGCAGTGCCCCTCTCATCACTGGGGTGGAACCCTCAAGGGTACACCTCAGTACCTTTAGTCAGAGAACATAACTGAACCATAATCCACTGAAATGATATGTTCTAAGCTGTACTGACTCCACACACCCCGTCTCGTCTCCAGGCTTTTATGTTACTGTTCTGTTTTAAAACATTCAGTTATGAAAAGGTACAAATACAAACTTTTCACCTGGAAGAACTTATTTAAGGTTCACAATCAGACCTTAAAACCACTGTTGGAGCTTTAGGGGAACATTTACACTGTTTGTACCTTGATGAACGAAACATGTACCTGCAGAGAACCTTCATTTCTAATGGTGTATGAACTATATACAATGTAACACAAAGAACAAAAAGATCAAATAAAAAACTAGTTTAACTCGTTACCTTGCCTTCCTTCATCATTGGTGTACAGACCTCCATCACTGCTGTTACTCACACTGCTGGTTTCACTGTAAACACATACACAAAGATGTTAAAGTTAGGTTTCATCATAAACACGACTGCTTACTACTGACTAACCCAGCAGCAAGGAAACAATACAGATGGGTAAAAAGATTACATAAATATAATTTATTTAACTGGCAGAAAAGAGAAATAGTTTGCCAAAAAAGTCAGTCACTTGATTATGTATTTTCTATGTACTATAAATAAATATTTTATATGTATTTTAAATATCTATATACAAAATACATGTATATCCCTATGTGAGTATGTCATACAGTGTCAGAAACCACAATCAAGTCTGCTCTAGATTACATAAAGGGGAATTCCACCAACCTTGCAAAATTTCTGCATAATTAAATGGTTACAGATATAAACTCATTCAGAGTGGTTCGATTTCCAGAGAAACTTACAGAGTCAGAACTGTTCACAGTGGTGGTGATAGGAACCAGACGTCCACGTCTAAAAGCTCCCTCACAGAAAGGAATTATATGAAATGGTTATGAAAACACTGCCTGATGTCTGAGACACTGTTTAACATAAGCTTAGAATAAGATTTTGACCTAAAATGGTTTTTTTTTTTGGATCCACTAATAGTGGAGCGGTATATGTAGGTGTTGTGAGGCAAAATAGTTCACCACTATTTCACCATCATCAACATTCCATATTTAAACTGAGAAGACTCGTGTTGGTTCACTGGTGGTTCTGGATAGTAAATAAAATGGCTATATCTGTGTTGTAGTCATGGCGACCCCTGGTTCTATCACCACCACTGTAAAGACATCTGAGTCTCCACAATGAACCACTGGTGGAACTCCCAGACGGTTTGAGGGACATTTGTGATGATATAGGGATGGTCACTGCTGGGGTACAGGCTTCCATAACTCCTCAGCTCCATTAGATTTACGGGCCAAACTAGCGATTTAAACATACCTCAACAGCCCTTTCAATCCCAGACAGCAGAAAAAAGGAGGAAGAAGAGTAAAGACAGGAAAGACCAAACACTAACCACCTGTCACTCATGTCCTCATCTGATCCCTTGTGCTCCTCAAACTCCATTTTGTCTTTTCCGGATTGGCCCGCCTCCTCACTCTCCACGACCACGCCCTCGTCTGTAGCGTCCAGCGCCAGCCGGGGTGCGGCCAGTTTCCTCTTCTTCACTCTGCCCTTGCTTGCCTCGTTTCCTTTTCCTTCTTCCGCAAGAACAGCCTCTCTATTAGGACTGCACCACACGGACAAAACAGGAGTATTGTGATATTATATATACTGTTTAGGGGTGCATCGATTCTGATACTAGTACCCAATACTGTATTTATTTACTCATAAAAAATTCACTGATGCCAACATCCGATACCAATCGATACCTGATATGTGTCATAAGCCTAGCGTACGCTACTGCACTAATGAAAACACACATATTGTGCAGACAGTTTTTAAACCCACACAATCACAAGCTCTTCCCCAATACAGGTGGAGACACGTAGGGTAACAAAACGGAGGCGAAATAGTTGACGTTTGCTACCTTATATAGTGACTACTCTGTTTAACTGAATAGAATTGTGAGGTTCAAACATTAATAGGGTGACTTTTTTGTAAAATGGTCTTGTACAATAGGCTGTAATTTATAGAAAAGAATTACATTTTAAATTGCAGTCGCGGTATTAGTTAGAAAATTTAGATATTTTCCCCAAATCATTCAGCTTTTTACACAGACCAACAATTCAGTGTCACGTGACAAAAACAATCGTATTTGCGAGTATGTTATGTTCTACTTTGCTACTCTAAATAAGTGCATAAATGTGAGCGTGTTGCCAAGGACACATTCAGAACTTGGCTGAAAAGGCAGAAATGGCACAGCTTTATCGCTAGCTAGGCTAACAACTAACAGTAAACATGATACAAAAGGCACGTCACTATCCTCGTCTTTACTCTGAACTATAAATAGACAGTTATGCTTGATTAAACAACTACATTTGAACTTAGAAATTTGTCAGTAAAAACAATTCAACAGCCGCCTTAAATCTTATTTTTCTTTGCAACACACCTGTGCCAGGTATTCACTGTTCTTAATGGACTGGTTCAGCAAATATTTGGACCACAAGCACTGATTTGAGAAACAAGTCTACATGCTAATGGCTATTAAAATTGAAATATGTAAAAGTCTCACGCCAACAACTTGAAAATCTCACTCCAGTCATCTCACCAAACTTGGCAACCCCAGCCCAATACAACAATAACAATTAAACAACATATCACGTGGTCTTACTCTCTACTGCCGCTGCTGCCACCTGGCGGTTTGGGAACAGGTGGGGCCAGCATGGCGGTGACCTCTAGTGGCGGATCCACAGCCATGCGCTTCACTTTCCTCCTCCTGCGCAAGCTCCTGGTTCCGAGTCCGTCGACCGACTCCTCGTGCCACAGCGGCCGCTTGGCCCTGCCAGAGTCGTGGGTGCGGCGTTTGGCGCCCAGCTGCTCGTCGGAGTCGCTGTTGTTGTTGTCGCGGGCGTGAGCGGCCCCCGCTGCAGCGGAGGACGAGGATCTGTAGTCCTTGTGCTCCTCCGGGCTGGACTCGGATCCCTCGCTCAGATGGCAGGTGTCCCAGGGCGGGTGAGGATTGTCGGAACGGCGCTTTCGCCCGCGGCGTTTGCGCGCCTGCCGCTTCAGCAGGCAGCCCACAGCCAGGGCGTGGTCCCCTCCATCTCCGAACCCACCGCGGGCCTGCTCCGAACTCTCCTCCAGCGCTGACACCAGATCATGGACTAGCTCGTCCATCGTCCGGCGAAAGTGCCTGAGCAAACGACACAATGGAGAAAAGGAAGGGTGTGAAGATTATATAGTCATGCACTGATAAGGAAACTGTGGGCCAAAGACCATATCTGATATTTTTCATAGGCATATCTGCACAATAATATAATAATAAATAAAAAAAAATAAACAATACTGAAATTGTAAGCGGATCCACCTGGACTACCAATACAGGGAAATTTAACACTTATTTGTAGCAGAATAAAAGTGCAACAAACTTAATGATAGATTTTTATCTATTATTACAGATTTTTTTTAGCTAAAAGACCTGCAATGTGACAATATTTATCGTTAGCGTGAAAAATTACATCACGTCACAATATGTTCTTTCAGAACATATAGTGGATATCGTCAGTAGTTAAATACTTCACAACCACATGTTTGATTGAAAAGAGAGCAAGATTAGTCCTGTTTTACTGGATTTACTGCAACACAGTAAGTCAACAGTCGTTGACACACTGTTAGAAATAAAGGCTCTGTTCAGGTACATCTTTCGTTCATCAAGGTACAAACAGTGTAAACGTTCCCTCAAAGGTACTACAGTGGTTTTAAGGTCTGATTGTGAACCTTAAATAAAAAGAAAAGTTTGTATTTGTAGCTTTTCATAACCGAATGATTTAAAACAGAACAGTAAAATAAAAGCCTGGAGACGAGACGGGGTGTGTGGAGTCAGTACAGCTTAGAACATATCATTTCAGTGGATTATGGTTCAGTTATGTTCCCTGACTGAAGGTACTGAGATGGACCCTTGAGGAACCACCCCAGTGACAGTTTTGTTCCTTTTTTTCTGAGTGTAGTATTTTTTCGTAAAAGGTGCCGAATTGTTTGTTGTAGCTTATCAGATCACGTATCGCGAAAACCTCTTGAAGTATCACGATATTTTGTCATTTTGTTTCTTTTAAAAGTGATGAGACAATTTGGATATCTTTGTGCATCCCTAGTATTATAATATTAACATGAACTATACAAGTATTTTAAAAACCATGTTTGTATATAAAGAGGAAGAACTGCACTAAATATCCAGAAACCTCCAGACAGCCTTTTCTAATGAGTCAATTCAGCTTCATTAACATCATCCACTGCATGCATAGCCGTTCTACTGCGTGCACAGCTCATAACAGAAAGGGATGCTGTGGAGCAGCTGCACATGAACCTAAGGTCACCATGGTCATTGCTAAGCATGGACTAGAGGGGTATAAAGCCCCTCAGCATTGGGCTGTGGAGCAGTGGATCTGTGTTCTCTGGAGTGATGGAGCTCCATCCAATACCTTTGGGATGAGTTGGAGTGATTCAGAAATGACCATTAAATTACCCTTACAAAGCGTTTTATGTATGGTTTAAAATACATAAACAGTTACTAATTAGGTTATAAACAACTTAAAAATCATTAATAAACAGTTGAAGAAATGGGCGAACGTGACCCGTTACATCTGATGAAAATACTAGACGAAGCTGACAGGGTTAACACTGACTGATGGAGAGGACAATAACAAGTTCTTAGGTTTAACTGTTTGGATGATTCTGGGCTCCACTTACTATATAGGTGCACTTTGTAGTTCTACAGTTACAGACTGTAGTCCATCTGTTTCTCTTCACTCAGTGGTCAGGACCCCCATGGACCCTCACAGAGCAGGTACTATTTGGGTGGTGGGTCATTCTCAGCACTGCAGTAACAGTGACGTGGTGGGGGTGTGTTAGTGTGTTGCGCTGGTCTGAGTGGATCAGACACAGCAGTGCTGCTGGAGTTTTTAAACACCTCAGTGTCGCTGCTGGACTGAGAATAGTCCACCAACCAAACATATCCAGCCAACAGCGTCCTGTGGGCAGCGTCCGGTGACCACCGATGAAGGACTAGAGGATGACCAACACAAACTGTGCAGCAGCAGATGAGCTATCGTCTCTGACTTTACATCTACAAGGTGGACCGACAAGGTAGGAGTGTCCAATAGGGTGGACAGTGAGTGGACACAGTGTTTAAAAACTCCAGCAGCACTGCTGTGTCTGATCCACTTGTACCAGCACAACACACACTAACACACCACCACCACGTCAGTGTTACTGCAGTGCTGAGAATGATCCTCAACCCAAATAGTACCTGCTCTGTGAGGGTCCATGGGGGTCCTGACCACTGAGTGAAGAGAAACAGATGGACTACAGTCTGTAACTGTAGAACTACAAAGTGCACCTATATAGTAAGTGGAGCTGATAAAATGGACAATGAGCGTAGAAACAACATTATGCCCAGCTCTTTATGCCTGATCGGTGTGTATCAAAAATGTAATATCATGATACTTTAAGAAATTTGTAGAATAAACATTTATAGGATTTATATGTTGTCTGGCATCTGATAAGCTAAATTTTCCACATTTATTAAAAATACTATCAAAAACTATGAATACAATGATTTGTGTTCATCATTTCACACACTGTGCTGCACTAAATCCAACTGAATCGTGCTCTCTTTGTTGTTAAATATGCTGTTGGGAAGTGTTTTTTTAAAGGGGAATTCCACCTATTTTTCCAAAATTCGACATAATTAAATTGTCAAGATGTTCTTTCAGAGTGGTTTGGTGTGAAATGCTCCACTCTAGAGAAACAATTCTGAAACAGAGTCAGAGTTGTTCACAGCGGTGGTGATAGGAACCAGAGGTCCACCTCTAAAAGCTCCCTCACAGAAAGTTATTACATGTAATGGTTATGAATTCACTGCCTCAAACTTCTTGTTAACCTATTTATTTTAATCCATTCATGGTGGAGAGGTACACATAGGGCGCTGTAAGGCAAAACAGTCCTCAATGAAAACTTATATTTACAGATTTATCACTATTTTACCATCATCCACATTCCATATAAAAGCTCAGAAGACTCGTGTAGGATCACTGGTGGTTTTGGATAGTTAAATAAAATGTCTATATTTGTGTTGTAGTCACGGTGACCCCTGGTTTCTATCACCACCACTGTAAAGAAATCTGAACCGTTTCACACCAAACCACTCTGAATGAATTTGTTTACCTCTCAAGGGCTGAAAAATTGGTGGAATTCCCCTTACTGACTATATCTACGACAAGAAAAGCATGCTGTGACATTAATCACGATAATACTGAGCCCCGCTGGTGTTACCTGACTTGGTAAGGCATGGGAATGAGATGATTAAGTTGCGGCCACGACTTAGTAAAGCATGGGAACGAGATCCTAATGCGTGGCCACGGCTTAGTAAGCCGTGATCCCGTTCCCACGCCTTACTAAGTCGTGGCCATGCATTAGGATCTCGTTCCCACGCGTTAATAAGGCATGGTCACGCATTATTTTTATTTATACAGGATGTCATCATCAGGGCTCCGTACGATACCCATAAATATCGTCACCTGTGAGTTAAAGCAGATTAAAGAGACGGTTAAACAGACACAGAGACGGTTGAGAAGAAAGTGGCAGAGAGAGACGATATATAAGCACGAACATGTTCTCGGAAACGCCTTTGAGGGATTTTAAATAGACTTAAAACCTAAATGTGGCTTGTAATCGTGGCTTTATAGCGACCAAAGCTCCCTGAAAACGAAGTTAAGAGGAGTTAGCCACAGCTAACTGGAGTCAACAATGGCTGGAGCCTTTTAATGCTAAGCTAAACAGCTGACATTGCGCCGAACTGAAGGCGGGAACGCGACAAATACGGTCTCTATCGACACGAAACAGCGAGTAAAAGCGGGACAGACGGTGAAATTTAAAAAGGAGACAGCAAAACAACAAAATGGAGACGGACTGAGGACCAAACAGCAGCTCAGCTCGGCTCGGCTCAGCCGGCTTCCACTCACCGCCGACACAAACGCAGCGGCTACAGAACTCACCAGCTGGTTCCCGCTTTACCGAAGTTCTTTATATCAGCTGCACGGAACATTAACCCCACCCTACAACACCATTAACATCTTATGGGGAAAGAAAAATATTAAAAAACCAAAGGGGTGGACGGGCTGGGACAAGGAGGCCACCATAGTGGCTCGCATTAAAACAGAGGAAACAAGTTAAAAGTCCCGTTTCCAGCCAGTCGCCGGGTGTGGCCAAGGTTTACAAAATAAAAGTCCGATTCCGCTAGAAAAATAATTGCGCACTTAAATACTAATGCGCTGAACCTCTTATGATCGTGGGTATATTTTGGTTTGTCCATCTGAATTTACATGACCAAATCGTAAGGCAAATTATTCAGTAACTGCATTAATTTTTTTTTATTAAAGTTTTTTATTTTATTTATTCATTTATTTTTTGTAAAAGTTCCCCTCAAATTAACAGAACGTGTGTTTTATGATCACTCATAGTGCTATATGCTTAGAATTTACTGCTGAAAGCCAAAAATCTTAGACGCTCTTTGAATTTTTTTTTATAAAAAAGCAGATCACTGAAGAGACGCCATCTGTTTATAGTTTATAGCCCAGATTTGTGGAAAAATGGGTCGACTTTCAGTAGTTCAGCTTCTTTTATTATACGGGTTTAAAATTACATCACCCATTTATTTGACTGGAAAGAAGACAGTTACAGCTCTCATACGACCCCCACCTTTTGAATGTAGCTTATGAAATATGAAAGTTATGAAGAATATGACGAAGTGCGTTTTGGAGCCACCGGTGGTCCCAAGGAGTTTAAAAGGTTAACATTAAATTAAAAACGTTTTAAAACATTTCACTTGTTAAATATACAGTCATATTCTTCTAGCTTTGTAGTAAAACATAGACACCTGAGTAGGCCTAGTCCAGTGATAAAACAGAGGAGTGGACGGTGCAGTCCATGGCCACTAAGTGGCCTACTTGCAATTCAAATGATCTAAACCAAGATTTGCCTTCCTCATATGGTGTTAAGCTGCTAGCTTAGTTAGATTAAAAATATAAATATTTGAAGGTGTAAGCTTAATTAGATAAAAAAAATATATATAATAATAATAATATATATATTTAACTAATTTATTGACTTGTTATGAGTCATTTTATTAAGAATTGTTTTAAGCATATTTCTAAAAATAAGCAAAATTAACGGCCAATATAGTAAGATCATTTTGCTTAATAAAACTGCTTAAAAAATTGTGCAGAGCTAAATTAAATAATATAGTATTTCTACACTCATCTCAAAATGAGACATATTACACATGTAGAGTAGTTTTTAAGATAATTTAATTTGCCAAGATATCTTGGCAAACTGTCCACAAACTGCCTTACTGTCCACAGCTTAAATGCTGGCTTTAACACACTCTCATCCACTTTGACTCACCAGATCACCTCAAAAAAGCCACCACCTTACTTTTGTGGCTTGAATAAAGACTTTTAGATGAGGTCTCTAAAGTGGCGAAGACAGGAGCAAACACAAGAGTTGACTTCAGCAGCAGAACTTGCCCAGGAATTATTGCGACCCTTCTCAAAACCCCTTAAATATGCCAGACAAAGCTGTTTACAGCTACTAATGCTTAATCTTTCAAAACCATAACATTTGCTTTGCTGGGCTTAAGGCCCTCCTGACAAGTACCCCTCACCGCATAGTCCACAAGGTGGGGCTGGACCTACATCTGGTTTCTTTTGGTCTAGCGGTGGAGTCAGACGTGCTGTCATGGGATACCACCTGTTTTCTCTGGCACTTGCAGTCATAAGCAATATGTTGATAAAATAGACTTTCTAGGCCACTTTGTTCTGATATAACACACTACTGAATGATTCAGAAGCATTAAGTGATAAAATTGCTTCATAAACACCATTGCGCATATACTTTACATGCCTTTTTGTGAATGTCTTCCAAAATTAAACGTAATGTAAACCACGCAGTCCCACCCATATCGTGATGTAGACTGATGAAAACATGACACAGGAGGAGCTGGATGTGGATCCAACTTCTCCTCGAGGTTTGGATGTAATATACATAAAATTTGTGAAAAATTGCTTTATCTGGGCACAAACGTCAGTGCTAGAAAAACTAGCATAAACTAGCATTATTGGTCACCAGCAAATCCAGCATCTCGCTGCTGTCGGAACCAAACCTTGTATCTTCATTGTTTTCCAGCTTTTGACATGTTTTGAAAATGTCTGCTGCTCTTGACATTGTATGTAAATTTCATAATGAATGAATCAAAAGAAACGGCCCAAAATGACATGGAAAAAAGTCTGGTTCCATTGACATACATTAAAAGTACAGTATGTTTTTTGCTTCTCCTGCAAAATTACCATGTGGAGATACAAGGTTGTGTTCTGACAGCAGCGATATGTTGGTGTGCTAGTCAGAAGCGGTGGACGTTGTTAGGCTGATCACCAGGAAAACCAGCATATGTTGTGTTTTAGATGGTAGTGTGTTGGTCAACCAGTTTGACAATGCTGAGTGACCAGCTAAACCAGCACCAGACCAGCATCAGGCCAGCATTAACCAGATTAGACGAGCATGGAATTTTTTTCAGCAGACATCGTCTGGATGGCAGCATATGTTGCCAAAACATGTATATATCATTCAGCATTAATGATGCCTTCAAGATGTGCTCGTCCCCCATGCCATGTGCACTAATGCCCTCCATACCATCATGAAGACTGGCTTTTGAACTGTGCACTAATAATAAGCTGAGTGGTCTTTAGCCTGGAGGACACAGTGTCCATGATTTCCAAAAAGAATTTCAAATGCGGATTCATTGGACCACAGGACACTTTTCCACTTCCCCTCAGTCCATTTTAAATGAGCCCAGGCCCAGAGAAGGTGGCAGCATTTCTGAATCCTGTGTATTTACGGTTTCTTCCTTGCTTTTTTAGAGTTTTAACTGTTTTCACAGACAGTGGTCTTCAGAAGTGTCCCTGAGCCCATGCAGTGATTTCCACTACAGAATCATGTCTGTTATTAATGCAGTGCTGCCTGAGGGTCCAAAGATCACGGACAGCAAATACTGGTTTTCAGCCTTGTCCCTTGCATACAGAGATTTCTTTGTTATTTTACGTTGAGAAACGTAATTCTTGAATTGCTGCACTATTTGATCATGCAGTCTTTCACAAAGCGGTGAACTCCTCATCTTTACTTCTGAAAGACATCAAATTTAAAATGGGCTAATATTAAAAAAAAAAAATACAGTTTCTCAGTTTTGAGATTGGATAAGTTGTCTTTGTATTATTTTCAATTAAATATAGGGTTTAAATGATTTGCACATCAGCGCATTTTGATTTTATTTACATTTTGCACAGCGTCCCAACTTTTTTGGAAATGGAGTTGTAAATGAAAAGGCCCTTAAGATGGTATTTGGGAAATTCCCAACGAGGCCAAGTGGACGAGGAGATGTCATAACTGGTGTTGAAACAGGAGGCCGGAGTCGTGCATCACTACAGAGACGTGAGCTTCAGTCGGTGAGGGCATGTTTAAGAAAGCACTGAGACAGGACCCTACAGTTGGGGAGGTAATGGACCCATCTGTGTGTGCGAGTGTCTGATTACGTATGGAGCCCTTCACACACTCACAGCCTCTCCAAGAATGCGTCTGCGAGGTTGGTGTGAGGGGGACTGCGTGTTGCTGGACGGGGAGATTGTTGTCGCTGTCGTAGGAGGACATCATGGTCCTGACTGTGAATCAGATGCTTGAGAAGTCAGCAGTTCTGTCAGAGGAGACACGCCGAGACCCAGAGCCTCTCCGGTTACCGCATACACGGCCAGGTTACTGTGGAGGTAAATATAGATGCTTTCTGCCCCTCAGTCTCCGTCCTTCAGCAGCACAGAGCAGCAACTCAGACACACAGACAGACGCTGGAAGGAGAGACAACAAGACAGCTCTCTCTCTCTCTCTGTATCTCTCTCTCTCATTCTCTATCTCTCTCTCTCTACATCTTTCTCTCCTAACTGACTCTGACTGTCTGTGCATCTCTCTCCATCTTTTTTCTTTTTTCTCTGTATTGATCTAGATATTTCTCTTTCTCTGTTCATCCCCAGCTTCTTTTCACTCACTCTATTAGATCTCCATCTTTCTTTCTTTCTTTTGTTTCTTTCTTTCGTTTGTTTGTTTGTTTGTTTCGTTTCTTTCTTTCTTTCTTTCTTTCTTTCTTTCTTATCTGTGCATCTCCATCTTTCTTTCTTTCTTTTTTATCTGTGCATCTCCATCTCCATTCCTTTCTCTCTTTCTTTATTTCTTTTTTGTCTCACTCTATTAGATCTAGTTCTGTCTCTCTTTGCATATTCATCTTTCTTTCTTTCTTTCTTTCTTTCTCTCTATTGGACTCATGGACTAGTATCTAGCAGACAAATGGAATAGAGAGGATTTGGCAACGCGTCTTGAACCAGTGACCACAAAACAACAACAAGTCCAGCCTCAGCCGCCGCAGGCTGAGTGTGAATCTCTGTTGTTTATGATGGAGGAGAGTGAGAATGAGCATGAGAGGCGGATGGTGACCCTCGCTCGAGTGCCCGGAGGACTTCCAGAACGACCCACATGCCATTGACTCCAGCTGGTCCTGGGTAAAGTTCTGTTTATCTGGCTCCGCTGCCATGAGGCTGGCCTGTCGCAGAACCTGTGTGTTTGCCTGGCACCAGGGCCCGAGTGTTTCGCACGTCCTGCATGAAGCTTCAGTAATACCAGCATGTGCGGCTGGATTTTAAAGTATGGCGAAAAATAAAATTTACATGGTTTAACCCTAAAAGTGGTCTGTCAGCAAAGAAATGCCTGATATCCGAAGTTGTGTTACATCACTACTGCTACTATTTTTAACTGTGGAATGTACTTTCATGCATGTTTAGACCTACAGATTACAGCCTGTTATACAGTCTCAGAAACCACATAAGCAAGACTACCTATCATACCTAACCTCTCCTTCAGAGCCTGTTTACATTTCCCATTGACATGTGTTTTGTGTCCAGATCGTATCTGGATTAACTTTCCCAGATTCCATTTACACGTTTTACTGAAACGCATCCCCAGTGTGACCAACTGAGATCCAATCATACTTTTCCCACATAAAAAGCACATCAACAAAAGTAAGTTATTTCCATTTTACTTTTGTTTACTCTTTTCCCCATTATAATACAAGTGGACAAGCTTGGCTTGGACGCTTTAATCAGCCCAGAGTGTATGAAGGTACGTAAAAATAGTTCTGGAAATTTACAGCAACCTACAGGCTGCAGAGTTGCCAGGTAGTTACTGTAATTTCAGGACTCATACTATAATGTCTCTTTACAGTAATGACATATTGTACTGTATTAAATGCAGTATTTCTTACAAGACTACAAACTGAGAGTGGTATATTACTGTAATCAATAATATCCTCTTTTCTGAATATGATATACACATATTAGAAAATGAAAAAGGCTCAAACAGCAGTTTTAAAATTGCTGTTTAATTGCATTTTAAATACATTTCAAAGAGTCAAATATTCTAACAAAGTAGCTGTTATTTAATTTCAGATTTTTAAAAATACAAACAGCTGTTCTTTCAAAAGCAAATAGGCTAACGGACTCTTCAGATAATCTTTAAGCTTAGGTTTTCACTAAAACTGCAATATACAAAGTAAAAATATGTAACATGCATTGAGTTTGTTACTTCAAGCTTGAGCTGTGTGGTGTTAAACTCAATGAGCGAAAGTGAATATACACCCCATTTAGCTTGGCGCTAACATGACATTACAAATCCCATAGAGACAGAATCCCATAGCCAGCTGAAATTAGCATGATCTTAGCAGTGATACTTACGTACAAAGAAGAATGGTGCCTACAAGAGGAAAGTTTCTACATGAAATGCTGCTACATAATGACATATATGACAAAAAAATAAAAGGTTCATGAATTCACTTGGGTACTCCATGCTTTATGTTGGTACAGGGTGTGCTAGGACGCTATTAGATAGCTAGCTAGCGTCAACTAGGCTAATGTTAACTAACTTCACCACTACCTGCTGAAAAAAAAAACAGCCTGGTACTGGGTTAGATGGTCACCCAGCTTGATTACGCTGGTTGACCAGCATACCAGTGTCCAAAGCACAGCACATGCTGGCTTTGCTGGTGACCAGCTATGCTGATAAATGCTAGCTTTTCTAGGCGGGTTAGCTAAGTATAAATATTGTGCATTTACTCGGATTCACAAGTGTCAGCGCAGCTCAGTAGCTATTTAAAACTTAAATAATGGAAAACTGAAAAACAAAATGAAACCATGGTGGATACGACGGTCCTGCTGCTCCAGTAAAGTACTTTTGGTGCCTAGTTTTGCAGCACTGATGACGTATACTTTGACGTGTCCCTGATAGCAAGAGGACAGTGGTCCACTGTCGGCCCGCTAATGGCAAAGCCGGCGGTCCACTGGCGTTTTGCTCAGCGTTTTCCAGGCGGTCCGCTGGCGGTTAAGCAGAGTATTAGACAGAAGTCCACTTATCATCACTCATTTTCCACTCACAGTCCAATTGACTGATTTTTCCTTCCTTCCTTTCTTTAGTTATACTCTGATTAGTAAATCATTTTAATCTAGCACATCTTTAGCAACAACACTTTCTACAGTGCCATTTTATATCAGGCCTAGTCATTTTTTTTTCTCTAGGTTGTTTGTAAAATTTGTGTAAGTTTATTTTCTAAAATAAAAGTCTCTGAGCATCTAAAATCTCTTTGAAGAGATTAAAATCTGGTTAGAGCTTATATGCAGGACAATAATCTGGGCAGTCCGAGGGTGGACCAGCAGTGGCAAGCAGTCAGTTTGCATGATGTTAACTGGTAGAATATAAGCTTCTGTTACTTGCAAACCACAATAACCTCAGACAGCGAACGGTGTAAATTTGATTTTCCAGTGAAGTATTTCTTTAAAGGTGTAACTCACATGGCTTGGGTTTATATGATTGAGCAGCTGTGTGTGTGTGAGCTGAGCACGTCTTTGGGTTCTTTTCAAGACTGATGGCCTTTAAAGTGGGAAGCTTGCTTACTATCCAGACTGTGCTGTGCAGCGGTGGGTAAAGAAGCACTGAAATAAAAGCATAGCTGCTAGACTGACAACGATGTCTGAGTCACTGACTGACTGACTGACTGATGTCCATTGTTGAAAAAGTGTAGCCTGAGACAAGCAGGTGGCGCTATCACCATTAAAAGTTGCCCTGATATCAACATAAGCCAATATTACACAACAGCAGTGACTCAGCACTGCACATTGGTATCCGAACAAGCAAACAGCAGTATTTTTTCAAAAATGTTCAAATTTTAATATTTGCTTATGAGTCCAAGGAGTGTGCAGGTCACTGCAGAGCTACAAACTGGCCTGTTTTACCCTAAGTCCCTTTGTCCTCTTTTGCCAGTCTGGTCCAGCTGTATTTTTCCCATGTTTCAGCTGTTTTTAAACTAGCCAATCAGCAGCCAGGAACAACTCATGATCTCACTTGCAGCTTTCTGACTGGATGAGAATCAGGCCGCTGAAGCCAACACAAATATCTGGCTTCTGAATGTCCAGACCTGAGGACTCTGAGAGGGGCAGAGTGAGAGGCTGGGGGTGAAAGACTGTAATTTGAGGTGTTGTTTTCAGGCAGTGCTTCAGGTACTGGTTCACTGGCCAAACCAGCTGCATTTATTTATAAAGTTTTAGTTTAACTTGAAAAAAAAAATATATAATTTACACAATTATAACAAATAGGGACGTACGGTAGAGTAGCTACTGTCCATCATTTTTTAACTATATAAACTATATAACTATGTAAATCCAGAGACGTTAAGGGCTCACTGGCACAAAATCAATGGGAAAACTCGTAACGCTCAACATGGCATCTGTTTAAAGGGAAAGAAAAAGAGCCAATCGGCTCGCTGGTTAGGAGTCCGGTCTTCTATGTTTGGAAATATCTGTGAAAGATTGCGAAGATGGTGTGATGACGACAGTTTAGAATGCTAACACAAGCAAGAGAGGAGAAAGGGGGCAACCTTGACGAGTCTCATGCCTGAGAGCAACGCAAAATGAGCATTGAAGATGAGCATTGTTCACAGTGTAAAGCCAGCATTAGCTTTATTGTGATGACATAATTCACAACACACCACAAGCGCAACCAAGAGGCCTGAAGAATGAAATTTCATTCCAATGTAAACAAGTTATATTTAGGAATGGCAATAAAAACCATCTAACTTGAGCTGCATTCTGAGCCTTGCAGTGAGGGGCACAACAGTAACAGTAACAGTGATCAAGCTGTTTTGTACACTCTTAAAAATGATGGTTCTTCACAAGTTCTTTCGTGAAAAAAATAGTTCTATATAGAACCATGAACCTCAAATAACCCTTGCCATGATTGAAGGGTCCTTTGCATCGTGAAAGGGCTCTTCGGATTGATGAAAAATGTGCATGAATGTGCTAGAGACGGTTCTACATAGAACCTTTTGGAAAGGTGTTCTATATAGCACCCAAAAGGGTGGCATATAGAACCATTTTCAAAAAGGTTCTATTTAGAACCGTCTATAGCACATTCTCCATCAATCTGAAGAACGATTCCATGATGTGGAGAATATCATTTGGGTTCTTTGCATGGTCAAATGGAAATCCAGATTGCTGTAGATGGTTCTATACAGCACCAAAAAGGGTTGTGATATTGTTATGATGGCAAGATCGTAACAATATCAGAACCCTTTTTAGTGCTATAAAGAACCCTCTTCAAAAAAGTTCAAGATGGAACCATATACAACACATTCTCCATCAATCAGAAGAACCATTTCACCATACAAAGAACCATTTAATCCTGCAAAGGGTTCTTTGAGTGTTCATAGTTATATAGGAACATTTTCTTCACTAAGCCTGAAACCTCTTTATTAAACTTTACCCTCGAAGAACCATCTTTTTTAAAAGTGTACGGCCAGTAAACTTTAGTCCAGTCACCTTCTGTTTGAGCCGTCCAGTGATGATGATGATGTGTTGGGGGCAGTTTGAAGTGATGCAGTGGGGAGTTGAGGTCTGCTCAGGACTATTTTTTCATCCCGCTCCCACCCGCTCCCGTGAGATTTCATCCCGCTCCCGCAAAAAATCGGAATCATTTCTCCTGCTCCCTCCCGCAATCGAAACGTTTTGACCCGCTCCCACCTGCGCAGTCCTGAGCACATCCGATATCTGACACAGTCTAATCACAAACACACAGCAGGAATTAAACCACAGAGCAGTTATTTTTGGTGTTTTGCTGGGCAGCTGTGGCCATCAGACTGAAGGGTCTGCCCTCTCTCTAACGTCTGATTCACACATGCTGCCTCTGCATAGCCTGAGTGATGCGGCAGCGTGAGCGCTACAGCTCGGACGCACTGGCCTTTCATACATACACCGTTGAGCTGCAGAGCAGTAAGAAACCTATACAGAAATTCCTGTTTCAGATGGATGAATGGTCACTTTAGTCACCCTGCTCAGCAAAAATATCATTTATAAATGTACACAGTATATTTGTTTATTCTGGACAGCATTCTGACTTCTGATTCAGTAAATTTTCAAGCCAGACCAACCGGGAAATCTGTCTGCAGCAGGGAATGTTTAAC